GTTATTTAATGCCGACAAGATTTTTATTGCTGGTAATATTTTTCTTTCCAAAAATGTATTGCTGGCAATAAATTTTTCTTCAAAAATTTATAGCTAGTAATTTTTTTGCAAAAATGTATTGCTCTATTAAAAATCTATTCTTGCGCTTTCATAGTGTTTTGATTCTATTTTGGGGGTTAACTATTTGCCCATAGCTGGGACCCTAACAGGTTTTACCACCCATGTCAGAGTGGACCTGGGAACACCAGCAATTAAGAGGTGGTTCCATGCTCCTCAAAGCCTCCTGATCAGAGGCTTTGCTGTCGGATGTAGTTTATTGTTTTACCCAGGATACAGATGTATTTTATCGTCATACCCATTATGCTATAAAAATGGTAAATGAATAATAGAATTTGAGAATGCTGTTAAAAAACTGTCACCCATTTTGAAAATCACTGTCAAGCATTGCTGTAAATAGGTAGCTGAAACAAAAATTTTTATTTTTCATGTTTTGTACATCTCTCTCTCTCTCTCTCTTTCTCTCACTCACTCTCTCTCTCTCTCTCTCTCTATATATATATATATATATATATATATATATATATATATATATGTACAGATATATATATGCACAGATATATATATGTAAATATATATATATATATCATACAGGATGTATCAAAAATACTTTTACAATATTTGTGGGTGGGTTCCATGCATCAAAACAAGGACAAATATAAAGGACATATAAATATATGTCTGCAAATCCTTTGTTTTTGTGTTATTAAGTTTAAAGAAAGTTTAGTGTAGATGGCATTGTGCTGCCATCTAGACTAGGTTACATTTGTCATTTGTGTACATTTGTGGCTAGTCTGTCTTCAACATTTAATGTGTGTATTAGTGAGTTAACTGACAAGTGTTCAGTTTAACAATGGCAGGATATTCATATCATGAGCAGGCAGATATGATTTTTACATATGGCCATTTGAATGGTAATGGATATGAGGTTGCAGGGCTGTATCAGATTTCATTTTCAGACCAAAGGCAACTGAGTTCATCCCACCTTTGCTGCTGTATATCATTGCGTCGTTGTAACAAGATCCGTTGCACCACAACCTATGGATCGAAGAAGACCAAGATTCGCTTGTATGCCTGACCATGAAGAACACATTCTACAGGCTGTCAGAGGTGTCAGCACATGTCAAGTGGCCATAGCATGTCATACATCTCATAGTATCACATGGAGGGTACTTCAAGAGTACCTCCTGTATACGTATCATTTGCAAAGGTGTGCATGATCTTTTGATTTTACTAATGTTTATTGCACAAACTGTTGACCCATTGTTTATCTCATCAGTCTTGTTTACAGATGAGTCAACATTTCGAAGAGATAGAATAAAAAATTTATGCAACCAACATTTGTGGGTGGATTGGAATCTATGTGGTACAATACAGGCTAGACACCAGCATCAGTTTATAATTAATGTGTGGGCTGGAATCGTAGGTGACTATCTAGTAGGTCCATATGTTCTCCCAGCATGTCTTACAGGAGCTATCTACAGGGACTTTATTTCGAACGCAGTTCCAGATCTGTTAGAGGGTGTACACCCACTAATATGAAGATGCATGTGGTTCATGCATTATGAGGCTGCAGCATATTTTAGCCACATTGTTCGTGAAGCATTGGTTGACATCTACCATGAATATGTATGAATATGTAGGGGAGGACTGATTTCATGGCCTGCACGTTCCCCTTTGGATTTTTATTTGTAGAGCCACCTAAAATATTTGGTTTATACAGCAGGCAGAGATGCTTCATCAATGTGTCATGGGGGCCTGCAAAATGATTTAACAGTGTGTGCGAGTATTTGAAAGGGTTCACCTGTCAATGATCTGATGGGTGAATGTGTGTAAAGAAGCAAGCGGGGGGACATTTTGAACATTTGTTATGAGTTGATGTTGTTGAGGTTCAACGATGGCCTTTTGGACATGTTTATATGGACATTTTGAACATTTGTTATGAGTTGATGTGTTGAGGTTCAATGACAGCCTTTTGGACATGTTTATATGGACATTTTGAACATTTGTTATGAATTGATGTGTTGAGGTTTAATGACGGCCTTTTGGACATGTTTATATGGACATTTTGAATATTTGTTATGAGTTGATGTGTTGAGGTACAACAATAGCCTTTTGGACATATGTTTATATGGACATTTTAACTTGTTTTGTTGTCAGGAACTTGCCCTCAAAGTTTCTAAAAGAATTTTTGATACACTCTGTATATATATATATATATATATATTAGATGCTTCCAATGCAAAAACAACTAACAAGATTCTAAAATGTTGCAGGATAAATTGATTTTAGAAAATTTAAAATGTTTTCTCTGAAAGAATATGAATGTTCATTTTAAAACTTTAGTATAAAACACTGCTTGTGTGTGCACAGACAGACACAGACAGACACACACCCACAGAATCACACACAGAGGCGCACACAGTGATACATACAGACTGACATACACACAGAGGCACATACAGTGATACTCACAGACACACACATACAGTGATACACACAGACACACAGATTTAGACACACACAAACAGACACACAGATGCAAACACACAGACACGCACAGAGATGCAGATACACCGACACGCACAAAACTGTATTCAGATTGATTGATCCATTTTTGTCAAGAATAACTATCATTGCCCTAAAGTCAGTATGTGGAATTTTTTGACTGAATTCAATGTCTGGAAACTTTGCTGTTTTTTGTTTTTGTTATTAATTAATCCACAATTCATTTTAAGTTTCCTCACCCTAAACATAACCCTACCCTTAACCTTAACCCTAACTCTTAACCTAACCCTAACCCTAACCTTAACCCTAACCCTAACCTTAAACCTTATTGAGGATGTGTATTGTGGTGTAATGTATAACAGCTTTTTCGGAATGAGAGGTCTGAGAGACAACTTTGAATTCCACTCAGGTGTTACATTCACTTATATGCAAATACCATTGGGTATTGTTCCATCTCTCCACCTCTCAGCTATGGGTAAAATAGCAGAACAGACTGGGTTCAATAGCCTTGGATGGCAACCAGTTTGCAACTGTAGAAAGAAATGCAACCTACCATGGAAAAATCTTATGCCTGGTCAGTCAGGAATTGTAAAAGTCAAGATCGCCCAAGTGTGTATTGTGTATGGTACTTAACTGATTGGCTGAGTATTAAAGGAAATGGTTCTTTATATTGAAGATTTTCTGGGATGAAAGCTTAGTATCTGTTCGCTACTCATCTGAGATGGGAGAAGGTGTTGGATCCTGGGGATTCCACCTCTGCTGCAGCACCTTCCTCACTGCACAAAAAGAGATGCAATATCTGCACAATGGTTGCAAGGACTGAACAATATGTACATGCATGCATATGGGCCATTCACATAAAAAAAAGAGGACTTTATACCACATCATGTCTTAATGAGGAGGTCATGGAAATAAATTTTGTCACCTTTTCTAATCTAAGTTAACCTTTTAGACTTCAACATGCTCAAACCCACTTCATAAATATCAGTTCTCAAAATCTCACCTTTTGTAGTTAAAGTCTCACTGTTTGTGTGACTTTCTGAATTATTTGCAAGGATGTTACCATACATTATGGCAGAGTATTATGGGTTATGACAGGTTGAACAGTGAGAGTCAATATTTATGGCGTGGGTTTGAGTGGTTTAAATACTAATAGGTTAATCTGGTAATTATTCTACAACAGGATATCAAGAGTGGCCTGACACAATTAACAGCTGAATTGCTATCTGAAATATTCACTGTATTATTGATGTAATGGAATAACCTGTCACCCTCATGAATGACTACACTATAGGTATTAACAACCTATAAGTATCTATAAGTCAACAGTCTATGAGTCTAGCCGAAATATTTATCAGCTATACAGTCGAACTCTCTGCCTTTGAGCAGAGAGGAACCCAGATGAGGGTCTGCCAAAGGGCAGTCTCTTTTGGGGAGGTAAACTGACCCTGAACCCATTTATACAGGTTCGAAAGGGAATATTTTGGCTGAGCCTACGGGCTTGGAAGACCCACGTTAAACTCAGCCTTGTGCCACATCTACCCTAGTGGGAGGGCTAGTAAATACCAACTAGCTGAAATCTTTTCTGCTATACAGTCGAACTCTCTGCCTTCAGGTAGAGAGGAACCTAGACGAGGCTCTGCTGAAAGGCAGTCTCATTCGGTGAGGGTAGACTAACCCGATCCCGTTTATGCGGGTTCTACATGGATTTTTTGGCTGCGCCTACAGGCTCAGAAGACCCATATTAAACTTGGCCTTGTGCCACATCTACCCTTGTTGTGGGGCTAGTAAATATTGACTAGGTGAAATCTTTTCAGCTATAGAGTTGAACCCTCTGCCTTCGAGCAGAGAGGAACCCAGATGAGGCTATACTGATGGGCAGAGTCTCATCTGGGTTGGTAGACCGACCCAACCCTGTTTTTTATGGGGTCTACGGGGAATTTTTTCCTAAGCCTATGGGATTGGATACCTCACATTAAATTCAACCTTGTGCCACATCCAACCATGTAGGGCGGTTGGCAAATATACTAGCTGGGATCTGTTAAGTATGACTCAGAGTTACTCGAGTACGACCGACTTTCCAATAGTAGCACTTACTAATGGTTGATTTGCAACGACCTTGTGTATAACTGTTATCTTTATTCTGATTGTAATGGTTTTTTACAATAAACATTTACTTATTTTATCCACCTGGTTTTTCAAGTATATATTCCTATTAGCATGGAATATAACAATTATGTTCAATCCATATGATGAATGGAGAAGCATTAGATTGGACAGAAAAACAATAGTGTTGAAAACATAAATATTTATCGTTTAAAATACTTTTTTTTTCATCATTAAGTTATGAACTACTTGATAAATCTATTATATAGATCAGAAATATGGTACATTTGAAGTTTGATAACTCATTAGTGTTGTTGATTTCTTTGCAGTCCAAGACACTGGTTCCAATGGTCAGAAACTAAGTGAAACAAATAATGACCGATTAATGCGTGGTCATTCCAGTAGTTTTGGACTTCACAGTCCTGACCAGCTACCCTGTGAGATGCTCCAAGCAGTTTGTAACAGTGAATGTGAATCCAGTTTATGCCTTGACCTGGACATTATAGGTAAGTCATGAATTGTGGCATGTTTTTCTCTTATCATAGTACTTCAAAAATCATTAGTCATCCTTCATTCCTGTTTTCTTATTGTACTTATCATAATGTTTCTCTGTTTCTTTCACACTTACTATGTATCTTTGGGGCTTTATTGCCTTCCTTAGGTTGAAATTGAAAAAAAAATATTTAAATGCATCATCACTTGTCATTTTCTGTTTTTTTTTTAATACTGTTTTTTATTGTCCTTTTCTCTTCAGTAACATTTTCCGAGTGCAATTAAGAAAGAGTGACATGCACAAAAATACATTATATCATTAATGCAATTCATCTTATACATCCATTGAAACAACAAGATAAAGATTATGTATTTAAAAATACCCCTTGTTTCTTCTTTACATCAAATGTTGTTTCGGTCTTTGAGGTTCACGTGTTGTTTGATAAATAAAAAGGACATGCCTATAATTGATTGAAAGAAATTGACAAATAAAAGAAAGAACAAAACTTAGAAATGTTCAAGTATAGTTTCTGAAAGAGTGTATAAGTTTAAGGGATGTTCTTATGATAGTCCCTATAAAAAGAAGAAAAGAACATGGGTGAACTTATTCTGATTTTGAGTAAAGTGGGTGAAACCTTTTCTCTCCTGATTAGACTGGCATTTATTAAGTTGAAATTGTAGACAGATGTATTATGACAAACTACCAGTGTGTTTAAATTGTTGTTATGTAGCATATCTCTACAATGTTCATATATACATATAACGTATCTGATGACTATCTTAAAATCTTGAACAATGTTCAAAATTTTAAAATAAAACACAATATTTTACAGCAATATAAATTAATTTAAATCAATTCCCCCGCAGCAGAATGTGCAGAGCCTACAAGACAGAAGAATTTCAGTCACTGTACATTTTCATGGGCCAATACACTCCCAGAAGTGGCCAAAGCTTGCTGGGAGATGGGAGATTTTATCAAGTCTCCTCGTCTAGAATGATTTCCAACCAAGGCTACAGAACCCAGTTTGTTCTTTTATTTAACCCACAGCTGGGAGAGAAGAGACAAATTTTTAGATTTGTGCATAAGTGAATGTAAAGGACTTGGCTGGAATTTGAACTTGGCCCTCTGATTTTTTATTCTGAGCTGCAATCCATTACACCACCTGCACACCTACAATCCTTGTTTCTTATTCTGTATTTACTCTTTTCAGACCTGACTCTGATTCCTCCCATTGAAGTTGTAGATGAAGAAATTAGAAGAGGACTTTGTAGCAGTGGGACCAGTGCCCCACCCCCAGGATTTTCTGATGATGAGGTTGAAGATTCAGCCCACCGGCGCCAGTGCAAAAACCATCACTACCATCACCACCATCATCATCATCATCATCAACAGAAACTGATCCAGCCAGTGTCATTGGGACCAGATGAAGCCAGTGTCAAACTGTTATCAAGTCCTAGTTCTGGTAAGACTCAGTCATTATGAATATAAATTTATACATATTTCCAGTGCTACTAAAATTGTACTGGATTCAAATCAAGGTCTTTCTCACTCCTGTTGGAAAAACCCCTCCCTGATTGACCACAGGTGTAGTCAATTGGTCAATTGCACCATTTTTAGTCATAGTTTCTCATTTAATCCCTCTGTATATACTTTGGCTTTGCTTTGCGAATTTGTTTCATTTTGTTTATCTAAGAAGGTACCAACATATTCTTCTGAAGAAGTGTAAGAATCCTGTAAAGAATGCATTTTTTTATATTTTTGGCAATATAAAAATTTTGTGGTGTGAAACTTTTGTTTAAATATATATATATATATTTTTCTTGTCTGGCATATTTAACAAAAGATATTTAAAAGAAAGGTTGGTGCATCATAGGTTGTGGGACAAAAGGGGAATAAATCTTTGCGCTAAAATCCAAGTGTACAGAACTGTCATTTTGTTAACTCTTTTGTATGGCTCTGAAACTTGGACACCTTATAGATAGTACATTAAATGATTTCCATAAAGGTTTCTCTCTGTACAATCTGCAGTCTAACATTTGATGATCAAATGTCAAATGCCGACCTTTTTGAGAAATGCAAGATTGGTACCATTGAGACCGTCATAATACAATCACAACTACATTGGGGTGGCCATGTGGCAATGATGAGTGATGATCGCATACCAAAAGTTCTTTTTTTTCAGTGAACTCCATAGTGGCTATAGAAATGTTGGTAGACCTTGGCTCAGGTATAAACTGAAAAGCAACCTTTCTTGCATCAACATTCAATTCAAAAACTTTGAGGAGGTAGCTATGAAGAGTTCAGAGTATTGTTCTTGCTGCCATTCAGGAATAATACACAATCAAGAAGTAAGCATCAGTCAACTGTGTGAAACACGAAAGCAAAATAAGACAGCTAACAGTGTTCCTGCTGCACTTGGGTACAATACATTCTCCTGTACTGTTTGTGGTCTTTTGTGCAATCCTTGAGCCGGTTTCAAAAGTCATGCCTGTCATAGGCATGCAGATAATTAGTTTGTGGTCGTCGGAACCTCATACATCAAACTCGATGGGAGTGTCCATCATATTATATATATATATATATATATATATATATATATATATATAACCTACTGCTTCAAACATTGTTTTGAGGATACCTATGTTTGAGTATATTCTGTATATTTTTTGGAAACAGTGTAAATAACATTAAGCAGCCTGTGTATTTATTAAAATTAATAACCATCATCTGATCCAGTGTGTTTTAGACTGCATGGCCCAAAAGAGTTTCACAGCCCTGCAAGGTCCAAGTACCTTTTAAAGAATGCGCATTCTTTCATTCAGATCTTGAATGCCAATATGTGCTCATTGTTTTTAATATCTGAAATGTAAACAAAGCAATTACTAAAGAGTCAATGGATTTTTTATCCAACATTATTTCCTGCTACTCCAAACATTATATCCATGTTTGAGTAAACTTACTAAGTTTCTTCTACAAGGGTAAATGCATGTTCAAAGTCGACTGGAGAGCACATTTTCTTTATAAAGACTCTCAAATGCACAAGCTGGTAGACATAATTTGATTCGGGGTACATGGCATCATTGCTTTCATTTCCAGTTCCAGATCATAGTTCTGATCTATGGTAAATACCAAAATAACTCTGTTATAGATTGTAGCAATATAATCAAAGTATTTATTGGTTTTCAATTTATGGCATTAATGAAGCCTGTCTATTATGAGGAATTTAACCAGTTTTGTCCCTTGTTCTGTTATTTGCAGATGTCTACAATGTAACTGCGGAGATTCATTCACCTTCTCCTCCTTTCTGCATGGACAATCATAATGACAGGCAGAGGACGAAGGGTACAAGATTTGCGAAAGTTGTTGAAGGGGAAGACGATGATATCAGTGGAAGTGGGGACAGTGGTCACAGGTCGGAAAATCTATCCTGTAGCCTGGACATCCCACCATCAAGACGGAGTAAGGCAAGGGCCAAGAGGTGCCAACAGATGGTCAGGTCAGCCAGTGCAGAGCACTGCCCAAGTATTTTAGATGAAGACATCGACACTTTGATAGCAAAATTGATTGTGCCACCACCTCCTAGTATGGATGATGACATATCTTGTCACATACAGGTAAATATTTTTTATACTACTCTTCACCCAATACAAGAGCCACTCAAAGTAGAGAGTTACTGAATGAGGTTGTTGTAAGAGCATAAGATGAGAATATATTCAAGAGAAACTTGAATAGCTAACATATTGTTCTTTTGTCAGGTAATATTTTATAATTTCTAAGCTCTACATAGTATTGAGCACTTTTTTAAGTGCATTCTTTGTAAAAGTTGGAACTTGTCAACCACAAGTGTGTTTGTTACATAAGAATAATTATATATTTGTTCCTCACCACTTCTTGATATTCAAAATTTCATGCCTTTGTCATATACATATATTCATATATATATATATTATATATATATGTATATATATATATATATATATATATATATATATATATATATATATATATATATATATATATGTGTGTGTGTGTGTACTTTAAAAATCAGGAGGTCAGTTGAAACCACTACAATCCAAGATAGTTCCTCATTTTTAAAGTTAAAAGCTCTATTTTACTTTTATTTTATTTTTTCACATATGTAGCACTTTTTAATACTACTATTTCCTGGTCGGATTCAACTCTGACCATTAAACTTTTATGTTATTATATATATATATATATATATATATATATATATATATATGTATGTTGCCATTTTTTATTCTTAATTTTGCACACATATGTTGTTTGTTTTTGATTTTGTCAACTGCACAGTATAGTAGGGTCAGTTGGGTATCGACTGTGAGAAAAAGAGCACCATAACATAATTCACTCTGCCAGAAATTTGGAAATGTCATGATGTACTACTTGGCATTCACACCAAAAGGTCCAACTCGAACATTTTAGAGTGTTTGGGAGCCAATCTGCAGACAGCACTGGGGATTTGGAAAAAATTGATGAGTTTAATGGTGGTTACGAAGGTTTTTGGAGTGATTGCTATTGATGGCGACATTATGCCTCAATTCATCTTCCCACAGGGTCTCAGATTCAACAAGGAGACCTATATCAAGTGCCTTGAGGAAGTAGTGCTGCCCTAGATCAAGAGGATGGCTAATGGAAGAACCTATATCTGGCACCAGGACTCCACTCCATGCCATACAAGCAGGAAAACACAGTCATGGCTGTCAGACAATATCTGCAAGCACATCATCCCTTACATCTGGCCACCTAACTCCCCAGACTGCAATCCCCTTGATTATTATGTGTGGGACACAGTTGTGCAACAAAACTCCTTGT